TCTGGGCAGTTTACAGAGTCAACACATTGCCCCCCAAAATCTGGGTCCAATTCTTGAATGGAATGGAATGGAATGGNTGTTACTTATCTTTTCTAGAATCTTCCCAGGTATTGATGTCAGGCTGATTGGTCTGTAGTTTCCCGGATCCATTCTCCCCCTCCCCCCCTTTTTTTTTAACGATGGGAACCATGTCAGCTCTTTTCCATTCTTCTGGTAATTCCCCGGTGCTCCAGGATCTTTGAAGGACATTGCTCAATGTTTCTGAGATCACGTCTTCCAGCTCCTTCAGAACCCTGTGATGTAATCTATCTGTACCTGGTGATTTGAACTCATCTAGAGTGTTGTCTTACCATTTTCCTGTCTACTTTGACTTGCATTCCTAGTCTGTCTTTTACGGTACTGCTTTTGGTAGGTTGGGCTATTTTTTCCTTTTGTGTGAAGACAGATGCAAAGAATGAATTAAGCAGGTCTGCTTTCTCCCTGCTGCCCGTCACTTCCTTGCCATCTTCCCCAATTAGTGGACCTGTTTTCTTACTTTTTACATGTTTACATTATTTTTGACATTTGTTGCAAGTCTTAGTTCATTAGTTCATTCTGAGCCTTAGCTTTCCTGACTTCACTTTTGCAGATTCGGGCTATATGCTGGTATTCTGCCTTAGTTATTTTCCCTCTTTCCATTTCTTATACTTGTCCTTTTTGTCTTTCAGTTTATCTGAGAGTTCTTTATGCAACCATGCTGGTTTCTTCTGTGAGCTCTTATTTTTCTTTTTCAGTGTTTTTGTGCTAGACTGGGCTTTTATAATCTCATTTTTCTGTTTACCAAGCTTGAGTTGTTTTCCCCTTTAAGATTTCCATCCATGGAATCCTTTGCAAGCACCAAGTTTGTTGAAATCAGCTCTCTTAAAGTCTAAGACACTAGTTTGACTTTGTTCTATTGTTTGTGCCTGCATTATATTGAATTCCAATATGACATGGTCACTCTTCCCCAAAGTTCCTGCAACTTCAACCCCTTCATTTCATCTCTGTTAGTAAGAATTAAGTCCAGTATAGCTGACACTCTAGTTCCATCCTCTAACTTTTGGGAGACAAAGTTGTCACCTAGGTTGGTCAGGAACCTGTCTGATCTCCCACTTGATGCAGTCTTCCAGTTGATGACAGGGTAGTTAAAGTTCCCTATCTTCCACACCTTAGCTTTTATATTTCATCTGTTTGGTTGGGTAGTCTGTAGTATACACCTATGACAATATTCCTTTTTCCTTTTATAGTAACCCAAATCCATTCAATAAGGTTTTCATCATTTCAGGCAGCAACTTATGTCCATAGAAGGAGTCTGTGATTTGGGTCCAAATAGTGTATTTTCCTTCACAGCTTTAAGATATAGAATTAGGGCCTGGCAAAAGAATTTTCGTTGCCACGCTGAAGAAAATCCAGTGATTTCAGTAGGATTCCTTCTTGGAAAACCTGTATAGGAATTCAGCCTAATTTTCATTAACCTCTGTCTCTCACAGACACAGAAATGGACACAGTGCACATACACTCTCTCTCTCGCTCACACACACACACCTCATTTTATTGCACAGAGAAGATTAATGTAAGAAGGGGACTGTTTGCCAAAGAGTTGCAAGACTGCTTCATGGCACTGAAACAGATTTAAAAGTGATTGGTGATATTAGAGAAGGGCAGAACAATAAGGGTTGTAGCAAGAAGGGGCAATGTTAAGGAGGCCTGGGTAAACTGGCTACTTCACTTTTATTTTTTGGAAAAGCTAGACTCTGTATGAAGGCACCTAAGCCTCTAATAGGCTGTGTGAACATGCATGTAAGTATATAGGAAATAGCATGTTATGACATAAGTACGAGAAAACACCAGTCTTAGAAGTTGGCCAACCAGGCTATAATGGTCCTCATCTTTCGATGCTTTTCAAATTGTTATTGTATGGATAGGCTTTGTGGATAGTTCAGGAAAAGGCTCACCAGCCTCTAAGTTGGAGAAAAAAGTTTTCTCCCTCAAAGAAACCCAAGATTAACTCAAACTTTCAAGGCAAAACTTTTGCATTTGCATATTCCCAAGATACACTATTTTGATGGACCCAGTTTTATTCCTCCCCAGAATTAGCTGGTGGAATATAAATGGGGCTGTCTATCCTCTGCACTTTAAACACAAACTTCTAACTCCCACATCAAGAAAAGCTGATTGCTGCACTAAGAAAAATGGAACAATTAAGCAAAACTGCAAATTCGGGCTTATTTTGCATACTATTCTGTTTGTGCACTAGAGTTGTATATGCCACACCACTGGAAATCCCACTTAAGTTTTTCTGAGATTTCATTAGGCTTTATAGCCAGTCTTCCTGCCATACAAGTTAGAAACTTGCTTTTAAAAAAACAGACTGTTAAGTTCTGTATTCAACATCACATTTGATGACTGCATGGAACACAGGAACAAGCATTGCCTTGAATATTATCCAACATGACTGCTGGCATTTGTACTACAGGCTTCCTTCAATTCACGCTCAGAAATCAGTTCCACATTTAACCCCATGTAATTTAAAAGTGATAAAAACAAAGCAAAAATCAAACAAACAAAAAAGCATTACTTTTTTCCAACCTCAAAATTGTTTGTATAGTTTTTTTGTGTGTGTGTAGACCCATACATAGATTGTTGCAATTAAAAACATACATAGACATATAGCTTAAATTGGAGCAGTGTTCTCCATGTGCAGGCCTCTGAATGTTCAGATGGTACATCCAACATGCACCCAACCCATCATGTAACAGTTCCCATGGCATCTTGAATGAGGTAAGAGTAAATAGTTTTTTTCAACAGACAGCATATGACAGAGAGAAAGAAAGGGGTGGTGGTAAAAATATACCCCTCTTCCCAATAACATTACAGTTGCAAAAAAAAAAGAAAAAGAAAAAGTTGACAAGAAATTGATTTGTCACAAAAAGCAGTTTGAGAGATAACAGAGATGTCTGATCTATTAGTAGTGTTAAGTGCCAAAATACTTGAATTCAGATGATCAGAGTTTGGCTTGTATTAAAGGTGAAACAAACAGGAAGAAAATGGGAAGCTGGTGGTGTTTTTTATTTTAGAAATACCTCTTCCAAAGGCAAATCTTTAGAGTGGGGATTCATAACTGGATGTTCCATGCCAAATATGGCCCTAGGTACCAACTGCTCCACCTCCACTTTGGTCAGCCAAGAGGAAGGAAAGCAAGGTTAAAAGGCAGGGCTGGTGGCTATTGCAATGGGGTTGCTAGGGCTGGTCAATCACCACTTACTATTCCTCTTCTCCACATGATGTTCCAGAACTTCAGAGGTTCTACTTTTGAACAACCAGTTACAAGCATATAAGCACAACACTAAATAAAACCATTTTGAAATCAAATGGAAACAAGACCCAAGTCTGAAAACCTGGGGTGTTTTTCTCTTGCCAGCTTGGCCAATTCAGCTTTACAAATGTGGGTAGCCTGCCTCCAAGTTCCCAACTGGATCACCTCTGATACAGTTCATGCAACCTGAGACTTATAGCTTTGTTCTGCCCATGGCAGTTCAAGTTGGGCAGAACGACCCTCCTTCTGTGCAAGGAAGTGCATTAGAATATTATTTCCTTGATCTAATGTGCCTCCAAAAGGGAAAATTAGATTCAATCAGGCCAGGATAACCTTTCTAACAGGCCTCTGCCATATAAAAGAAATGTTTGCCTTTTCTTCCCATGTGCACAAACACAACTGGGACTACAAAAATAATATAGAAGTGCAGGGGACATGGAATGCTGTAGGAGAAGGAAAAGTCATTATGCAGAGTCCACAACCTCTTAGTACAGAAAGCCTGTACATTTCTGAGTTGTAAAGGGTATTGCCATGTCCCCATGAATAATTGTTTTCATGTTTACTGATGAGTGCCACCCCCACCCCCAAAAGAGCAAAAATACCCTGAACCTAACTTTGATTCTCTTAGCGCACTGAAGAGTTAGGACTTCTCATTTCTTCCACAGAGAGTAGGGAACTGAAGGGAGGGTCCAACAGGGCAGCATGAATGCTAGTGCAGAAAGAAGTGTACCACCACATGGCATGGGAAAGTGTGTGCAAAGAAATAGCAAGGACCATTTAAAAGTTCAGTAGGAACATTGCATGCAGCCTTTCAGCTGGGGGGGACAGCAGGTGTGGGTGGAGATGTGTTAAATTCACCCACCTTGCTGAACATGGAGGTAGATTGGCTGAAGCTTTGGGGAGGGAAGAGAGCATCAGGGTAAGGAGGAAAGCTGATGAATATACCTCTCAACACTGAAATACAAGGTGGGCACATCTTAAGAGGCAAGCCCTGCAGTGAGATTCAAAGCAATATAAAATAGATTTCTTATTCGATCACCTGTTTCTCCACTACTGGAGGGGCGGAGGGGAAGGATTTTTCTCTCATTCAAAATTCTGACATTTCCTGGGACTGTTATGTGCAAAAGAAAGAAAAGTGTATGTATCAGAGGTGGGTTTCAGCCGGTATGCACCGGTATGGGCGTACCGGTTGGTGAAATTTAGCGTGCCTCCCCGTACCCATTCTTCCAGAGGCCCAGTACCGAAACGCTCCCTTCCCTGGCTTCAGCACTGCTCTGGGCTCCTGAAAAAGCCTCCCTCTGCCCCTTCCTCCCCTTTGAAAAGCAGCTTCCAAAATGGGGCGCTTCTCAAAGCGAAGGAAGGGGGGGGGAGCCCATGCTGGACTGGGCTTCAGCGCTGCTCTGGGCTCCTGAAAAAGCCTCCCTCTGCCCCTTCCTCGTCTTGGACCGCTGTCAGTGGCAGATATGAGGGAAATGGTGTGTGTGTGTGTGTGTTTGTGCCCCCTCTCCCCCCCTTCTGGCAGAGCTGCAGTGTTCCGATCCAACCTTAGAGAGTTATCCAGGGCTGGCAGCAATGTTCTTTTCGTCTCCTCCCCTCTCTCACACACACAAACAGTCCTCTACAGTCAGGAACAACTAGCACATATGTCCAAGGGGAACCTTTACCTTTACTTGGCAAAGAAACACTGAGAGGAGGTGTGGGAATAATCTTTCTCTCCCCCCAAATATGAATAGGCCTACAATGTGGAAAAAAAAAACTTCTTACTCACAAATTGTCACAGTCATTAAGTGCCGCACAGGGATGGAGGAAGGGATTTTGGACATTGTGCTCTGAGAACCAACATCTCCTGTACTATAGGTTGCAACGAATTTTGCTTCTTCAGGAAGAGTGGCTCCCACCCAGGGGTGGGTTGCTGCTGCCGTTGCTGCTGGTTCGCTTCACATGCGCTGTGTGCACATGCGCAGTTGACTGTAAATTGTTCTGTGCATGTGCATAACATGAAAAAAATTCTAAAAAACATTCCCTGGTAATTGGGGAACCGGTTCAGGGGCGTGGCCAGCAGTATTGCTTGGAAAAGATAAAGTAGTTTGGGTAGTACATTCATTTTAATTGTTGAGATTCTACCAATTAGTGATATCTGTAATTTAGTCCAATTATCCAAATCTTTTTGTATTTGTCGTAGCAATTTATTGTAGTTATCTTCTTTTATTGTAATACATTTTTCCGATAACCATATTCCCACATATTTAATTTTCTTGGCCCACAAAATTCCCAGTTTCTCCTCCAGTTCTTCATTTTGTCTTTTGGCTAAATTCTTAGTTAATATTTTAGTTTTCTCTTTATTTATTTTAAGCCCTGCCACTTTACCGAATTGGTTTATGTTTTGTAATAATATTACTCCAGTTTCTAGGGGTTCTAGGGGTTCCTCTATGATAAATGCTAGATTGTCTGCAAAGGCCTACACTTTGTATTCCTTTGTTCTAATTTTCAATCCCTTTGTTTCCTGGTTCTGTCTAATTTGTAACATCAATGTCTCTATTGAGAGATAAATAACAGGGGGGATAGAGGGCATCCCTGTCTTACCCCTTTAGTTATGCTGAAACCTTCTGTTGCTTCCCCGTTTANTGAGATTCAAAGCAATATAAAATAGATTTCTTATTCGATCACCTGTTTCTCCACTACTGGAGGGGTGGAGGGGAAGGATTTTTCTCTCATTCAAAGTGCAATGGTCCTTCACATGTGGACCTTGAGCCTCAATTTGTGTTTATTATTTTTTTGTCAAAACATCTATGACCTTCCTTCCTCAACCTGCCCCAATAATTTAATGGGATTTCTCTTTTCCTTTCTTGGTTCCATTTCTTTCTTTCACAAAAAGTGCATTTTCAATTTTAGCCCCACAGGGAAGATAACTAAATTCTAAAGGTTCTAAGAGAAACTGAATCCAAGAATAAAACAACCAAACACACTCTGACATTTCCTGGGACTGTTATGTGCAAAAGAAAGAAAAGTGTATGCATCAGGGGTGGGTTTCAGCGAGTATGCACCGGTACGGGTGTACCGGTTGGTGAAATTTAGCGTGCCTCCCCGTACCCATTCTTCTAGAGGCCCAGTACCGAAACGCTCCCTTCCCTGGCTTCAGCGCTGCTCTGGGCTCCTGAAAAAGCCTCCCTCTGCCCCTTCCTCATCTTTGACCGCTGTCAGTGGCAGATATGAGGGAAATGGTGTGTGTGTGTATATGTGTGTATGTTTGTGCCCCATCTCCCCCCCTTCTGGCAGAGCTGCAGTGTTCCAATCCAACCTCAGAGAGTTATCCAGGGCTGGCAGCAATGTTCTCTCCGTCTCCCCCCTCTCTCACACAGACAAACACACACAGGTCCCTCAACCCCCACCCCTCCCAGGGCAGCCACATCCCTTCACTAACCTGCTTACCTGCTCCATCCTCAACTGCCATGTGCAGGGCAAGAAAAGTAGTCTGTGGGACTACTTCCAACTTCGCGAGACTTTTTTTTTTTTTGCGAGAAGTTGGAAGGCCTGAATTTCTGGTTTTTCTTTTACCATGGTCGCACAGACTAATCTTCTTGTTCTGAACATGCAGTGGAGAACGGAGCTGGAAAGCAGGTTAGTGAAGGGATGTGGTTCCCCTGGGGAGGGTTTGGCATGGGTGGCCTGGCTGAAGGGCTTTCAGGTAAGCCTGTGTTGGGCATTGGGGCAGCTCCTCAGCCCCTGCCTTGCTTCGTTCTCCACCCTCACCCCCCACCGCCTTGCTCTGTTCTTTGCAATGTGCCGCCTTTCACAGTAACAAGAATTGCAAGCAATTCCAATGACTGATTCTCAACCAGCCGGCTGCATGGTAGAAAGGAGCTTCCTGTCCACTTGAAAGAGAGGCTGGGTTGCATAAAGGGACTTCCCCCCCAAGACCCTCTCAAGTGCCGGACTGCAGGCCCCACCCCAAGGAGCATCAATTGGGGCCAAGCTCTTGGCAACCAATTGAGGTAAGACTGTCCTTGAAGGGGGCGCGAGGCGCATGGGGCCCCCTGTTGCTTTTGCAGCCTCAGTCATCTGCAAAAGCAGCCATGATTCTTGCTGTCTCTTCTCCCCCCCTTGCCTGGCACAGCAGGGCTTCCTGCCCCTCGCCCCCTTTATGGATGCAACTTGGGGGTGGCAGGTGGGGTGGGGTGGGTGTTTTCGCCCTCCCTTTAGAGGAGGCTCCTATAAAGCCTCTGGAGCCTGGGGGGGGGAAGCATGCCAAAAATGGGGTGGGGTAGACGCAAGACGCGCATCTTGCCTGTGAGAAAGTAAGAGAGGAAGGAAGGAAGGAAGGATGGAAGGAAGAGAGAGAGATTGAGATACACACAAGAAAGGAAGGAAGGAAGGAAGGAAGGAGGAAGGAATGAAGGGAGAGTGAGAGAAAAAAAGAGAGAGACAAAGATAGAAAGAGAAAGAGAGAAAAAAGGAGAAAGAGAAAGAAGGAATGAGAAAGAAAGGAAGAAAAAAAGAAAGAAAAAAGAAAGAAAAAAGAAAAAGAGAGAGAGAGAGAGAGAGAACTTATCACCACAATTGAGCTCAAAATTTTGGTTGCTAAGCAAGAGCATTGTTAAGTGAGTTTCACCACATTTTCCAAGTTGGCCATGCCCACCTGGTCACATGACCTCCAAGCCACTCCCACCCGGTCATATGACTGCCAAGCCACTACCACAAAACAGGCCACACTTACGGAATACGTTCTAAAAAAATTTGAAACCCAACTGGTATGTATGTACAGAATGTATTTATATATACTTACATCAGTGGTGGGTTTAAAAAATTTTTAGAACCTATTCTGTAGGTGTGGCCTGTTTTGTGGGCTTGGTGGTCATGTGACCAGGTGGGCATGGCCAACTTGGAAAATGTGGTGAAACTCACTTAACAATGCTCTTGCTTAACAACCAAAATTTTGAGCTCAATTGTGGTGATAAGTTCTCTCTCTCTCTCTCTCTCTTTTTCTTTTTTCTTTCTTTTTTCTTTCTTTTTTC